AAAAAAAAAAAAAATTTCCTCAATCCGAACGTACAAACAAAAACGTTCGTTATTTATAATAATAATAATAATAATGGTAAACTAATGAAATCGAACTCATTTAAAAAAAAAAAATATCAAGTCAATAATAAAAACGAGATAAAATTATTTCATTACAAATGGAAAGAAAAAAAATAAAAAAATATTTATATATAGAAAAAAAACTAATTAATAGCTAATTAATAAAGTCATAAAACCAAATACGACATAATTAATAATAATTATTATTATTATTATTTTTAACGGAGAGAGTCTATTGTATATGTATTTAAAAAAAAATTTACGACCAAATGTAAAAATACTTACTACCCCTCCTCCCTGGGGAAAAAAAAAATAAAAAATTTTCCCTTTTTTTTTTGTTTACTTATTTTCTTTAGGGTTTTCCCCCCTATAAAAAAAAATGGAAATTTTCACAATGTCGTAGAAAAAAAAAAATTTCAATATTTTTTCACGACTGTTTTTTCTGCTCTAATAAATTTTTACAAAGTTTACAAAATGACAACAAAAAAAAAAAAAAAAGAAAAGAAAAAATTTACGTGCATTATGGAGTGCAATAATAAATTTCTCTCATTTTTTTTTCTCTCTCTCTCTCTCTCTCTTCCATTTGATAAAATATTAAAATTTCAATAAAAAAAAAAAAAAAAAAAAACGTTATAAAAATATATTTACCTATTTTTAAAATATTTAAAGATAATATATAAACTTGTAGGAAAATAAACAATTTGTATTATAAAGTAAAAGAAATTTTTATAGGAGATCACAAAGTTCTCGTTAGTTGAACGACCGCGAGAAGACTACTAGAAATAACTCAATAAGTACTTGGGTACTTTTTTAAAATCCTTCTAAAACAATATCAGGTGTGTAAGTCAAGCGTGGAAAAAAAAAAAACGGTTGGCAAAATTTTCTTAAGGTAAATATTAAATTTATAAACAACAACAACAACTTATTTATTTATTTATTTATTTAAACGATTAATTTAATACTAAGAGTTTAACAATTTTTTTTTTATAACTTATAAAATTGAAATTATTATTATTGTTGTTGTTGTTGTGAGGTTATTGTTGTTAAAAATTTTTAATTTAAAATATTTATATATTGATTAATTAATAAATTATATTAAACTATTGTTTACTTTTACAAATCTTAAAATGTTTCCTAGTTTTTTTTTTTTTTTTTTTGTTTTCATTTCCTATTTACTTTTTATTCCTATTGAATTTGTTGTTAATTTAAAATATAATTAATTGATTTTTATTAAGATAAATATTATTAAAACGTTTTATAAAAAGACATTGTGAAAATATAATAAAATTTTACCCAATTATATAAATTATTTTTTTATTTTTTATTTTTTGTTTATGTGGCAAATAAAATAGATAAAAACAAAATTTTTTTACATAATCTAAAATGAAGCGCCATATTTCGTAATTGGCAAAAAAAAAAAAAAAGTTAATTTAATTTATTTATATTAAAAAAAAAAAAAAAGAAAAGAATAGAAAGAGGACATTGTAACCAATTACCCAGTTATGATCATATTATAAAGAAATATTCAAGAGGAAGAATTATTAGTATTGAGTAATCTAATCAATTGCTTGGTCTTTTTTCAATTGCCATAACCGCCATTTTCTTTAACACTTAAATCAAAATTTGATTTTTTTTTTATGGTATAAATATTAAATTACAATTTGAAATCATAACTAATGATAAATATAGTGTTTGAATTGATGAATGATTTCAAAATGGTTCAATTACACACACAACACATCATATTTTAAATTGTAATTAAAACATGACACGATTAAATTATTACGTGTACGTTTAAAATACGTTTTAAAGAGAAAAGAAGAGAAAAAACCAAATAATTACGTCGATTGTTTAAAAAAAGAGTACAAAATCTTTTAATTGGTTCTATTGTTAACGTTTATTAATATCAGTTCAACTACGATTTACTCCATTCAAATCGTATTTGGTTTTATGTTTTTATTACGTATAAATAATTTTATGATCGTTGCAAACGTTATATTATTGAAATTTAATATCTAAAATTTACTTATTGCTATCTTATATTATAAATGGAAAAATGTTTTTGAGATTACTTACATTTTGAATTTGTAAACTTGTAAACTTGTAAACTAACCTCCAACAAGAAAAATTATAACTGGTGTCTAATTCCACGAAAAAGAACGTGTTTCAAACAAAAACCGTTGACACAACCTTGAAACACCAATTTAATTATTTACCGAATTAGTTATTAACCCCTTTTGAACGTTATTAATTTAATTAATATTAATTTTTAAATAAATATAACAGTTAATATTTTAATATTAATATTTATTTAAAACGATTTTTCCCAAGTCATTATTATTAATTTCAACAAATACAATTTTCAGTACTTAACTTACCTAGTGAAACCATTTTACTTTCTTTTTTTAATAATTATATTTCAAAATTAATTATTTTCTAAGAAATTTTTTTTTTTTCTTTATTATAACTTGCAAATCATTATTAAAATTTACCTTGACATCAATTAAAAATATTACTTTAGATTAATGAACAGTATCATTTTATTTCCCTTCATAAAATTATTTAAAATAAAGAAGTACTTATCGAGACTTCATCATGAAAAAATAAATTTAAAATAAACATTCGATATTTACTCTCAAATATATATTTATATAAATTAACGGAAGTGTTATTAATAATTAAGTAATAAACTAAATTATAAATAAATTTTTTTATTTATTTATCATTAATTACCCTTACTATTATTTTTTTTTAAAAAAATTTGTACTTAAAAAAAAATATACAGTTTATTTACAAATATATATTTATTATTTTAAATTATCGAAATCCTATTAATTAGCTTTTGGAAAAAAAAAAATTTATACAAACATGTATTTTTATTAATCTTATCAATTGACTTATTTAATATAATAATAATGCTTAATTAAATTTTTAAAAAATTATTCTGTCCATCTGTGACAGCAGTGTTGATTAGTGCATACATAATAAAGTCTCATTTCTTCTTCTGCTCTTCTTGTCTGAGCTTGGAAAAATACAGCCAGTCTATTATTGCATTTTGGACAAGGATGTTCTTCTGATCTTGGAAGCGTTGGATCTGAGATTACATCTGACACAATGTGTGTTAATTCGCTAAAAAAAAATTGATTTTTAAAAACTTATGTTAATAAGATTATTTTTTTAAATAAATAAAAATTTATCTCATCTACATTACAAATAGATTGGATACTAAACTAAAAGTATTATTTAACTTCAAAATTTTGTCAAATTCAAATACAAATTTATTTAGTTGACAATAGAATTTGCAGAAAACTATAAATTCATTTACTTAAAATTTAAAATTAAATGCTAACATATAATAATCTACTGCATTTCCTCTTTTTTTGTTTTTACAACAAATATGTTACTATTAAACATTTTGAAACTAAGTAATGTAATAATAAATTACTAATATTATTACTACTGATTACTAAAATAGAGAAGTTTATAATATTGATATCATTTTAAAACAAATCGAAAACAATAACTTACTCAATTTCGTGCATAATTTTGTTCACATATATACAATTACTGTCTGCTGCTTGCTTGTAGTCGCAATTACGACACTATAAACAGAAAATAAAATTTTTAAAAAATTACACATAAATTTTTTGTTAATTATTATTTAAATATTACAATAAGTTAATTTCTATGTATACAAATAAATAAAAACATAATAGACATAAATATTTGTTTAAATGTAAACTTACAGCATACAGTAATATGTGACTTTCTTTATCTTCTTTTGGATATAACATATTATTGCTGTAAATAAAATAAATATTAAAACTATTATAAATATTTTAGTTTTTACTTACTAATTAAAGATTCAAACTGAAATATGAGTTTAATTTCATTGGGAGCATAAATAAAGCAAAGGTTAGAAAAAATTTTTAACTACTCATTAAATTAACAATAATAAATTACAAACCATTCTGGGCAGAATCGAATTCCTACAAAACTAGGTCCATCACCATGCGAAGGTCCCTCAAATCCACCAATAGGCATGTTTGAAAAAAAAAATAAATATTAGCTAAAAGTGATTAATTATTGATATAATAAACAAGTAGTAGTAGTTTGATTATAAAATTATTTCAATTAACCGCAAGTGTCATTAGACAGCGTTATTTACACTGCCTTATTGAATTTCGAACACGGTTTATACGTTCAGAAAACGAATCAAACATAATTTAAATTATTTTAACTTCTGTTTTCAGTTAAGGTCGCGAGAGTCGAAGTGGTTCTTGGAAATAAGGTATAAAAGAATTTATATGCAACATGTGATTTATGAATAAAGGTACACAAATGATATCGTTTTATTCTATTCGGATTTCAAACGTATAATTTTCGGTTCGAAAACCGTTTGACTAATAATTCGCGGGTTTTTTTTTTTTTTTAGTAAACTGTTGTGATTAACGTATGAATGTTACAATGAGTGAAATGAAAAATTTTAGACTTCTTCAGTTATGTGTAACGTGATACGAATTTTAATTAATATAAAATAAAAAAAATAACACCAGAAAAATGATTGATTGTACATTTCACCGCTTGTGAAATTTAATGTGATCAATTTCGTTTCAAATTTCTAATATAATAACACTTTAAAAATTTTTAGGGGTAAGTGATGATTTTTTATTACCTGAAAATTTTTTTATGACTAATTGTTTTTTTAAAATTTACTTGTACATAATTTTATGCATTAACATGTGCATGTTTGTATTAAGAAAACTATTTATGTTAATTTAGATGTATTAAGTATTTAAGACTTTGGTAATTTTGTATTTAAAATATGCATATCGAATGTTTTTATTAAATATTGTCTGATTGTTAAAGAAAAAAATAAAGCATTTAGTTGACATTAATTTAGATTACCCATGTAAGATTTTATAATTATTTCTAAACATTTTATAAGGTTTTTAAACTATTTTTTAGTTTTTACTTTTGCATGGGCTAAACATACCCCACATTTTTTTTCGGCATAAAATAATTTGGTTTATGAAAGAAAATCTTTTCGTAGAATATTTCAGGTTAAAATTATTATTTGCAATTGATTAAGACTAATTTTCTTTTAATTATTACAAAAATGTTTTACTAGATGCATGTCCAAAAAAATAAAAAATAATATAAACGATTCAACTATTCATGATTTCGAGATTGTAAAGTATAAAAACTTTCTATCGACTAATTATGTCCATTATATTTTACACTTTCGAATAAATATTATTCACAATAAATTTTAACAAATCAAAATCATTTTAGTTACTCAAATGTGATGTATTATTTAAAAAATTTTAAATATTAGTAATAAATTAATTTTTTTTATTTAAGCCCACAAAATAATAGAGAAAAAAAAAATAGTTAAGGTCAGATAAACTTGTTTTCATCTGTTTTTTTCTTCTTTTAACTAAAAAAATTATTCTGGCACCTTTCACAATTAATAATATTTTACAAAGGTATAGAAATAAATAATGAATGTAATTTTTTTTATATATTTTATAGTTTGTTAAAAATAATACCTTCTGTAATAAATAGTAAGGTTGTTTGCTTAATTAAGCACATGGTTGGTAATAATAATAATAATCGAATAACAACTTTTGATTTCTTATTAATTTCCTTTATAGATATAATTATATACTATATACTGATTTTTCCTCAACATGAATCGCATGTTCATAATGTATTGTTTTAATAATTTTTTTTTTTTTTTTTTTTTTTTTTTGGAAACCAAAGTCTTATAATATTTCATCATATTTAAGATTTATTTATTTAAATATCATTTTAATTTTTTTAAATTTAATTCGATTGATATTAATTAATTAATTTTTAAAAAAATTTTTTCATTCTTTCAAATTCAAGGTAAACAAGTTTGATCAATTTTTAAGTAGTAATTTGTATTGAGACAAAATTTTGTTTACCATCAGGGATAAAACATAATCCTGTAGGTGTAAAAATAATTTTCCAAATTTCGTATTGCAGTTTTAAAACTAAAAAAAAAAAAAAAAAAAAAAAAAAAAAAATTAAATTAAAATTTTTTATTCACATCATAAATCTAACTGACCTGGGTTATAAAAAAAAAAATAAAAAATTTTATGTGAAAAAATTTGTTTAAAAACAAAAAAAAAAATAATAATTTAATAAAAAGTTTTAACGCATCTAACTTCCAGCTACGCCTATTTTTAAATTTTCCTTTAGGCAAAAATAAAAAAAAAAAAATTTATAACGGGGTCAATAAACTGTCAACAAATGAATTTTTTTTTTTTTTTTTTAAATATAATTTTACATTATTTAAACTTAAACCGCTACTACTGTGTACAAGCGGCTTTAAAAAGTAAAGAAATTTTATTATTATATATATTTATATATTTTTACATTGGTAAAATGTAATACAAAATATATATGCGAATTATATTATTATTATTATCATCATCAATATTATTATGGAACGATAATCGTTTGGGAACGAACATTTGGTAATAATAAAAGTTAATAATGACGCAAGTTTTTTTTTTTTTCCCCCGTTTTTTTGAATTAAAATTCTAAAAAAAAATTTTTTTTAATTTTTGAAAAATATATAATCTGACTTATTAAGAAAATAATAATAGTAATAATAATAATAATAATAATAATAATAATAATAATAATAATAATAAAGACGAGGAAACTTGATTGTAAGAGTTCCATGAGTCAGGAATTCCGCATTTTTTATCCACATAAATTTTTTTTAAAATGAAAAATTAATAAAATAATATTAAAAAAAAAAAAGAAAAATTTCCACTGTTTGTTCTTTTTGTGTTTTCCCCCCTCCCTCACCTTCCCCTCTCCCCCTCCTCCTCCTCCCCATTTCGTCAATTTATATTTTTCAATGGCAAATATATATTTTTATTTAAATGTATGAGAATCAATTCCTGTTTGCCTTGTTAAAGTATAAAAAAAAAAAAAAATAGAACAGAATAACCTATTGAAAATAATAATAATAATAATGATAATAAAAACTGCATTTAATTTGACGATAATTTTCTTTTTTTTTTTTTAAGGTATGTCGTAAAAAAAATTCGGGGGGCAATAAATTAAAAACGGCGCAGACATGGTTCAATTCAATTTAGATTTTTTGGGCACGACAGTCGTCGACAGACGATTTTCCACTCCGATGATTCCATGGGTTTTGGCAGATATTCAAAGGAGAAAAAAAATTCAAAAGGTAAATAATTAAATTTTTTATTTGGTCTCCCCATTCGAATTTTTACCCCCCTCCCCCCCCCGAACAAATAAGTATAGTTTAGTGGAAACAACAATTAAATAATAATACTTATTACCACGTCAGTCATATTAATTTTAAATGCTAATGGAAACTTTTTTTTTTTTTTTTTTTTCCTCATTTGTCGAGGGTCACGCCTAATTTTTTTTCAAATTTAAATTTTTGTTTGTTTGTTTGTTTGTTGTATTTGACAAAGTTTCGAATCCTAGCAGCCTTCGTTACTTTTTTTTTCATTTTCCGTTTTACGAAAGTAGAAAAAATTTTTTTTTAAAGGAAAACCTTTCGAAATCATTTATTAAAATATTAAAGTAAACGTTTGGGTATCGTGTCAATAGTGTATCCGATTTCAAAGGTATTTAAAACACGTTTTTTTTTGCGACTTAATAAGATTTCAGGCACACAAATTTATAAAAATAATGGAGAGAGAGAGAGAGAGAGAGAGAGAGAGAGAGAGAGAGAGAGAGAGAGAGAGAGAGAGAGAGAGAGAGAGAGAAACAAGTACCTGTTTCTCGAGTTGCTTACTCGCGAGTTAAAATGTCTACAAAAAAAATTTTTTTTATTACCATAAGTGGATTTGTTTATAATATTTTACAATGTTTATGTTCTGCAATATAAATTATATTTTTTATACCGTATGAATTCTTTACTAAAGAGAGGAAGGGGAAAGGGAAGGTTTTCGCGTGTTTTTTCCGTTGTTTATATCGACAACAACAACAAACAAACAAACAAAAGAGAAAGGAAAGGAAATTAAATTTTTATTTATTAAATTTTCAAAACCTACGTAAGAACCGCCATTAAAAAACAAAAAAAAATTTTTTTAACGGTTGTAAAATTGTTTACAACAATGGAAAATTTGAGTTATTTTTATTGCGACAACTTGTTTAAATATTTAATTTGCGAATTTTTTTTTTTTAAAATACTTTTCCGTTTCCAAATTTTCGACTGCCGCCATTGATACCACCTCATACCGACTAATACCGGCATGGTAAAAAAAAAAAAAAATGTTTTTCTAATTTCGTCTTTGTCTTCGCCATTAGTGAAAGCCAAAAATTTTTCTAAAATAAATAAATATTTAACCCGTGTAAAATTTAGAAAGGTTCTTCGAAAGAAAGCATTATCAAGGGCTTCGTACAATTTTTTTTTTTTGGGGGGGGGTATTCGTGAAAGTTGAGACAGTCACGGCAGACGTGATGTCACTACCCTTCGCCAAAAAAGGAAAAAATTCAGGTTGGGTGGGGGGGGGTCATATACGTGCGTTTTCAACCTCCGCCTATTTAAAATATGACAACTGACAAGGCAGAGTAGGTAGTTAGTCATTATTATAGGCTGTTGTGGTTCTTTAAGATCATTATCATGTTTGTTTGTTTGCTTGCTTGTTTGTTTGTTTATTATTATTTTTTTTTTTATAGTAAATAAAATTTATGTAAAAGAACTTGAGACGAAGATCAAAGTTAAAAAAATTATTGTGATGTGATTTAATTATAATATCTAATAAGAAGCTAATGATTTTCCAGATTTTTTTTTTTTTTGTTTGTTTGTTTGTTTGTTTGTTGGAGTTTTTTTAAACGGTTCGCGATAATCATTCGCATCCTCTTCACCTTGAAACGACCTCATATTAAAATACGTTCACGCAATTCCAAAACCAATAATAATAATAATAATAATGCATATATGGTTATGGTTTGCCGTTACGATTATTATTGTTTTTTCCCACCAACAACAACAATCGACCGTCGTCATCATTCCAGTGACAAAATAATAAAAAACTGTTGAAGGTGAGATTGAAAATAACAGACGGAAGTTGTTGTCTCTCATTGTTTTTGTGGTATTTGCAAGGTACGCATTCGTTGTACCTTTTTTTTTTCTCTTTCTCTTTCCTTCACATATTTATGTATTGTCATCTTTCTCTTTCACATTCACATACGACGGTTTCAGTCGTTTGAATACATAATTAATAAATATTTATTCAACGTTGGTAAAATTATTAACCTTCACATTCGGTTGTTTCGCACTTTTGATATGCTTTATTGATGATGATGATAATTTTTTTTTTGTTTTCCAGGTTGTTTTGACAATTGAAAATGGTGAAATAGTCGCGAAAGAGGACGAGGTACCATTATTCGTTCACCACGCGTCAAACGTAAGCAAATTTTGTCTGGAACCTGGAAACATGAGAACATTTATGTATTTGGTCAGAGATAAATTCGAACCCGTTTTAAATGTTTATTTATTTCAATCGGATTGTTGCGAAGACGTAAGTGCGTTAAATTTTATTTATTTATTTATTTAGAAATCAATAACGAGACGTTCGAACCGGAAAAACGTAAAAAAAAAAAACATTTTCACTCTCGTTTTCTGGAGAATTTTTCTCTCTCTCTCTCTAAAGCTCTCCGAGGGAAAAAAAGTAAAATTAAAAATAATGACTGGAAAAGACTTTGCGGAAAATCTTTTCTCTTTTATTTTTCTTTTTTATGTTTGTTTATTCTAACGATTCAATTTCAATTTTCGTTATTTTGACATTTCAAAATTATTCGAAAACAAATATTTTCCAGAGAGAAAACCTCTTGCCCCCCAAAAAAAAAAAGTATAACAAGACGCGTTCGTTCGTACCGTACCGTACCGTTTTTATTAAATCGTGTTTTCTTTTTTTTTTCATTCCCCCTCCTCTCCCCCCACGAAAAAAAATTATGATAATTAAATGGTTGAATGAACATTTTTAATTGAAAAAATAAGAAAAAACAAAAGCAACAACAACAACAACAATAACAAGAAAAATTGATAAATCTGATGATGATAATTTACCGGAAACAATAGCCGAAATATTTTAACGGTTTTACCTTTTCAAAATTTTTATTTTAAATAAATTCGACGTGATTTTAAATCGACCACGCGATAATAATAATAATAATAATAATAATAATAATAAAATCGTCGATCATTATTATTATTATTATTAAGACGGTGACCGCAATATAATATTTTTTTAAATCCTGTTCGTTACACCGGAATCTTCGTAATACTTTAACCGAAATTTTTATTAACCGCAAAAAAGATAAAAAGTCCTCTGGAAAAAGAGAGAGAGAGAGAGAGAGATATAGACAAACACAAAGGGGAAAAAAGGAAGGAAGACAAACAAAACAAAGTGTTGAGTGGCAGTTAATTCGATTTCGATTCATTTCCGGTAAACGTCATCTTCCTCCTTTTTTTTTTTAATACTGATTCGCTTAAGAAATCGCGTCGAAAAATAATAATAATAATAATAATAATAATAATAATAATAATAATAATAATAATGAAACCAAGTCAACATTTGATGAATAAAAATCGTTTTTTTTTTTTACGGTGAAATTTAATGCTTGGTTTTTTTTTTTTTTTTTTTTTTTTTGTCACGCCATTATGACAATGAGGATAACGCGCGTATCGCGACGATGATCCTTTTAAATGTTGTACGTCACGTTCAAACGACCTAATTAAAATAAGTTGACAAATGTAAACAAAAGAAAGAGAAACAATGAAAAGAAATATAATAATAATAATAATACTAATAATAATAATAATAAAAATCAGAGTTTTGGTAACAATAACGACGACGACGACGACGACGACAACGACATCGAAAAGATTTTCCGTAACATACAAATCGATGGTAATTGAAAAATAAACCGTTTTTTTTGTAGGCCGTTAAAAAGAAAATTTTTTTTTTTTTTTATTTTTTAAAAAGAAAAATTGACGCACGTGTTGTGAACGTGTTGAGAACGTGTTGAGGGATTAAAAAAAAAAAAAAAAAAAATATTTAAAATTTAGAATTTTCTAGAAATTTTTTTTGGTTTTGCGAATTTTTTTTCCCCGTTTTTCTTTATCGTGAGTTTAGGTTATGCGTCACACAACGCGTTGAAAAGTTGAAATTATTATTATTATTATTACCATTATTATTATTATTTGTTTAAGGTTTGTTGTTGTTGTTGTTGTTTTTCAAGGTGGCGGTTTTGATTCGTGTTAAATGAAATTTTCTTTTGCTCCATTAATTTTTTTTTGTTTTTGTTTTCCACCCACGATGAGACGACCGATTAATCGAAATAAATTAATTAACCCAAAAAACCACGTAATGATAATAATAATAATAATAATAATGATTTGAATTTAACCTTATTTTTTATCTCTCTCTCTCTCTCTCTCTCTCTCTCTCTTTCTCGTACGGAGAAGAACGTTGACCTTTGTGATTATAAACCTTCACGTATTTCTTTAAACCTTTTTTCTTACTGTTTTTGCCTTTTTCTACCTTTTACGGTCATCATCGTTTACCATTTGAATATGAGGAATTTAAAAAATTTTACAAAACATTGCCTTGATGATGTGTGTGTGTGTGTGTGTGTGTGTGTTTGTTGTTTGTTTATGTTGTTGTTTGTTGTTGTTGTTATTTTTTTTTAAAAATGCCAATTTTAACGACCTCGGATATATAAAACTTATTCGTTTGAAAATTTTTTAAAGTGAAGTAAGAAAAACAACAATTTTTACAATTTGGGATTTTTTTTTTTTGCGTAAATTGAGCTTTTGTGGGGGTTGAGGTGGGGGTGGTGAGGGGGTGAAAAATTCGTCACGTTTGACATTTTTTTTTTTTTTTATGTCTCGTCTCGTATTACAATAAATCGATTTTATTTTTTTATTTCGTTTAAGAAGGAAAAAAAAAAAAAAAAGGAAAAAGGGAAAATAGGGAATTCGATTTAGATGTTAAAATTTTTTTTTTTTTTTTGATCGTTTTGCTGCAGGTGCTGTTGCTTTTGAGATTTACCCGATTAAAAACAAAAAAAAAAATTAATTTTTAAATTAATTAGAACGTTTTTTTTTTTTTTTTTTAATTAGAAAAAAAACGTTCTAAATTATTTTTTATAAATGAAAAAGTTGTTGTTGTTGTTTTATTCCAATTAATTTAAAATAATAATAATAATAATAATAATAACGTTGAGGCCATGTAATTTTGCGACACACTAATAACGACAGAAAAAAATAAGAAGGGAAGGGAGGGGAGTTCAAAATAATAATAATAATAAAGATGACGATGATGACGACGATGATGATGATGATGATACGATTATCTGTCAGTGTAATATTTTAATGTCAAGGGAATAGGAAAAAAGATGGGTTGAATGAAAATTAATAATAATAATAATAATAATAATAATAATAATAAGCCCAAGTTATACATGCAGAAGAAAAAACTACAAAAAAAGGAGTTCTGAAAAGGGCAAAACAAATCGTCCAAGAAAATAAAGAAAATGAGATAATGGAAGAAGGGCAACTTGCAACTTATAATAGCAAAGCCCAATCTCAGAAGAAATTAAAAGGCAAATGGGAACAGAAAAAATTACATGGGCAATACCTAAAAAGAATAAATGCCGACGATATTAATAAGAAGAGCACGCACAATTGGCTACGACGTGGAAAACTTAAAATAGAAACAGAAGCGTTTATTACAGCGGCTCAAGATCAGGCATTGCGGACCCATAACTATGAAAAAGTAATTCTCAAAGTCCGCCAAGATGACAAGTGCCGAATTTGCCAATCACAATCGGAAACCATCGATCATTTAATTTCCGGTTGTCCGATACTGGCAAAACATGAATACTTAGAAAGGCACAATAAAATATGTCAATATCTCCATTGGAATATATGCCGAGAATATGGAATGGATGGATTACCCAAGGAGTGGTACAACCACATTCCAAGCCCGGTTACGACAGTAGGTCCATGCACAGTTCTATATGATCAACAAATCCACACTGATAGAACTGTGCCAGCTAACAAACCGGATATCATACTCAGGCATAATGGGGAAAAATGGTGTAAGTTAATTGAGGTATCCGTGCCGGCAGAAAAAAACACCACAGCCAAAGAAGCAGACAAAAGGCTGAAATACAGAAATTTGGAAATTGAAATAACCAGGATGTGGGGAACAAAAACTGAAACGATTCCGGTCATCGTGGGAGCATTGGGAGCCATGCCAAATTCAATAAAAGGAAATTTAAAGAAGATTATGAAGAACCTAAAAGAAGAAACCATCCAGGAAATCGCACTATGTGGGACGGCCCACATTCTTCGGAAAATATTATAAATAGCACCACCGATATTCGAGTATTTGTCCCTAAGGAATCGGGTAGAGACCTGGGATAAATGCTTAAAAACCCCGACAAATAAGAGCCTTGTCGTGTTTAAGAGTGACCATAATAATAATAATAATAATAATAATAATAATAATAATAATAATTTTGTTTTTTTTCTTCCCTGTAACCTCGCCAAATTTTTTTTTTTTTTTCTACTTTTTTCTATTTCTTTCTATTTTTTTCCTATTTTAATTCTACCGTAGAAAATTTTTTTTTTCCCAGAATGACGTTTTTTTTTTAATTTTAATACGTAATGAGAAAAAAAAATGGAAAGAGAAAATTTTGGCTCGATTTTAGTTTTTTATTTTTGTGAAAATCATGCATTTGATGCGTGTTCGCATGTTGTTTCCTCTTTAATTTTTTTTTTTTTTTTTTTTGCCCGGTTTTTGTTTTGTTTTGTTTGTGTTTTCATCTTTCACGTCATATTGTCTACTGTTTGGAAAGCACATTTAATTGGCAGTCGAACAATTTTATAAATAATAATTGACGGAAAAGCAGAATTTAACGTTTTAATGTTGTTTCGAACGCGGAGGAGAAAGAACGATTCGAGATGGGAAAAAAATTAAAAAATTTCGCTTAAAAAAAATTAAATTATTATTATTATTATTATTTTAATATTGTATATGTTTTGTGATGATAATAAGTGATTTTAAAATTATTATTAATACGTCATCGCGATATTTTACTGAACAAAAAAAAATTCCGATCATCGTTTTCGTTTAAACGGGGGGAAAAACAACAAAAAAGAAAATTTATTACGCGTAATTTTCCATTTTAATTTTAATTTTTTTTTGTTTTGTTTTTGAAAGTGATCTAAACAGGAATTAAGAACGAGAAGAAGAAAAAAAAAAAAAAAAATTTATTTTGAGCTTTGGCGGTCATCCCACAACGAAAACACATTTTCGCGGCCTCGTTTTCGTACGATTTAAAAAAATTTTTTTTTATTTCTCTCTCTCTCTCCCCCCCCTCTTCCCCCTCTCCCTCCCCGGCGTGGATTTTTTTTTGACGAATTAACAAATTAGTATTTACGATAATGACGATGAAATCTTTTCCTGCTGTCGTTACTTCTGACAAATGTTACACGCCAGATTTGGTGAAATCAAATTCGACGGTGAGTTTAAAAATTTGGAATATAAAAAAACGATGATTTGTCATTTTATTATTATTATTATTATTATTATTATTGTTTAAGAATGTAAAAATAAAAAATAAAAGAAAGAAAGAGCGGGGGGAGGGGGCTGGGGCGGTTTTTTGTTTCCCAATAATTTTAAATAATAAATAATTTGACAAATAAAATTAGTCATACAGAAAAAAAAAAAGATGTTCAAAAACGGTGAGTCGTCATCATAACATAACACTCGAATATTATTATTATTATTATTATTATTATTATTATTATTTTTCTCGAAAAAATGTAAATATTAATTTTGATAACGTGCTCCTCTTTTAATTAAAGAGAAATGATAAATGTTTTTGTTGTTTTTGTTGTTGTTGTTATTGCTTTTGTTGTTGTTGTTGTTGTTGTTGTCGTCGTCATCGTCGTCCTCCCTTAACGACTTGTTTTGTTGAGCCTTTTAAAAAAAATTTGAATTTTTTTTTTTTTTTGTTTTGGTGCAGGTCATGGAAATATTTCAAACATTCCGTGAAAGCATGACGGAGCAACAGAGCAACATGACAAAATCCCACAGCAGCGCGGCCACTCTCACATCCCTCTGCCCCGACATATCACCGACCAATTCGTTATTTTTCGAAGTGCTCTACGTGGGTAAAATGAAAGTGTCACATCGGAAAGTTCCGGAAACTTTTATAGATGACGCATTGGTTAAAATTCAATTGTACGAAATGGAAAAAACAGCCAAAAAACAATGTGCGATGACCATTGTGGCGAACAACGGGAAAATCTGTGATATTTCTTCGAACGGAGAAAACGTTCGTGACGGGGTAGGAGGTGGTGGCGACGGTTTGAAACAAACGAACGGGTGTCACGCGGAAAGGGATGCAATTAATAAAAATTACGAAGAAAATTTAAAATCGGAAACGAAAATAATACAACGTGCCAACGGGTTGAGGTCGAAAGAATCAAATTGTCAAAACGAAAACAATAAAAATCAAGATGGCGGCGGCGGCGGAGATCACTTGTTAAATGGTCAACGCGCGACAGCCTTGACTGAAATAAGTGTGTAAATATAAATATGTGTATAAATAATAATAATAATAATAATAAAATTAGTACACTTCCGTTTCCTTTAAATTAATTAATTATATTTTGTAATTTTTTTTTTTTTTCCCGCAGGTAAAACCAACGCGGATTCGCACTCGGATGACGGTAAAAACGATGGCGTAGGAGGAGGGGGAGGAGGAGGAGGATATTGCAGAACGAGAGCGGGTTCATTGGGAGTCATCGAAACGTATAGGAAAAAGGTCGACGGTGGAAATCAAAATCGGACAATGTTATTTTACATCGGGAAATCCGATCTGAGATTAATCAGTCCCGATAGGAAACAAGTGCTCTTGAATAAAACACTGAAAGAAATTAATTGTTGCATTCAGGTACGTGCCAAAATTAATCGATAATCGAATCTTTCAAAACAAAAACGCGGACGCGGGAGGGGGCGCGGGGCGAGACTTTTTGGGATTTTTCTCAATATTTTTACATCGGAGAAGAAAATAATAATAATAATAATTTTTGTTTTTTTTTTTTATATATGACGTAATAGGGACTCAAATGAAAACAAAATGAAAAAACGGCTTCAATGTTAATTATCAAGGTCAGGCTTCGTATTAAGTAAATAAACCTGAAAAAGAAAACAATAGAATTTAATCCCGTGAAATATTTATTATCCGATTTAAAATATGTTTTTCTTTTTTTTTTGAGGGGAGAGGGAGGGAAGGAGGAGGAGGAGGGGACGGGAGATGTGAGAGTTTGTGTTTTTGAATTTTTGTTTCTTGTGAAATTTTAGGGTATACAAAACAACGAGCACTTTGGAATCATAAGTGGTGAAAATGACGGATACGTCGGATACGTTTTCAAATGCGAATCCAACAACGTGGCAAATCACATCGTGTCCGCCATATCACCGACCATAAAAGCTTTAAAAGACGTGAAAGAAAAAACAAAAGTACCGGTTCTCTCGTGCGAACATTGTCCAATGATATGGTTTCATAAATTATGTACCGACGTGGAAGGTAAGGTTATATTTATTTTGTCGCAATCGAAAAAATTCTGTCGCAATTTCATCCAATGTAGCCCCATTCAACAAAAACTTTATGATTAATTATCGAGTAATCGACGATGGATGGGGGGGGGGGGTCGGGAGTCTCGTCCCTCATGAAAATGAAATAAAACAAACAAATTATAAATTCAACCTTGACGATTGTGGTAATTAAATTATGGAAAAGAGAGAAAAAAAAAATAATAATAATAATAAATTACCGCCCTTGAACTTGGCCGGGAAAAAAAAAACGAATTTATTGTTTGTTTTCCCATCCTCCCACCCACCCCGCCCCGCCCCCCAATTTGTTTTAAATCGTTTATTTTTTTTTTTTTTGTTATTAAAGATCAAAATGAAAAAAAAACACAATTGACGATATTGAAAAGGATAGAAACGCTTCCGGAACACGAGCAAATGGAAATTCACACGAAATTTTTAGGAGCGGAATCATCGGACATAAAAGAGCAAAATGAATTTTTAATGATACTATTGAGGACGCACTGCGAGAGGAAGCAAAGTAGACACGTGCACGACACGGAAGAAACAAGGTAAGATGATCAATCAATCAATCAATCAATCAATCAATCGATAAATCAATCGTTTGGTACAAGAGGAAAAATTTATTTCGGTTTTTTTGACACCTACGAAAACAACCAAAAAAAAAAAAAATTTTTAATTACAAACATCGTCATTAAAAAGAAGGAGAAGGAGAAAGAGAAGGAAAATGGTGAAATTTTCTCTCTCTCTCTCTCTCTCTCTAAACGTCGTCTGTTGTTTGTCAACGCGGGTATCATTATAAAACCATATGCCCTCGTACCGAATTACTAATTATTATTATTATTATTAATATCTTTTTAATTTCATCTGACGTGATTCTGCTTTTGTCGCGTATCAATTACTCGTCATCTTTTTCGAATGAAATAGTAATAATAATAATAATAATAATTTTGGTTTTCAGAACGGAATTTTTAAATCAAGTTTTGGGAGGGAACACCATTTTCATGAAAGCTAAAAGATCGCTCACGAGTTCGTTCGATCAACTTCTCAAAAGAAAAGGATCTCATTCGGAAGTTTATCAAACCAAGGTCGATAAGTATGATTTATTATAACGAAGGAAAAACAAACACCGCCATCTTGAAAAGAGAAATGATCGTTGGATGTATATAAATATGTATATTGCGAAAGAGAGAGAGAGAGAGAGAGAGATTATTCAATTCGCGGATTGTAATCGTATTAACTTCCTTCCTGTTTCAAGTCTCTTACAAATTATATTTCAACAGGAAATGTAGAAAATCAATGCCCCCCCCAAAAAAAAACAAAAAAAAACATAACATAAGTAAGAGTTATTAAATTACATTTTTTTCGTCACGTGTTTATGTTTAATACAGGAATCGGCTAGCAGAAGATCGGATTCGACGATTAACGAATTCGCGAACCATGAAAACTATCACAGGTCTTACTTGACCGTGGGTCCTTCCGACGGTGAATTTATGAAACGTGAAATATCAAAACAAATTGTAAATAAAAAGCAAAACTTTAAATCATTCCAAAGGGATAAAAGGTATGCGCTGTTGGATTGTTTCTGTCGGATAATACCTGAAATTTGAATTGAAATAAACGTCGATCGATCGGATTGTTTCAGGGGTAGTAGTTTGGACGAAGGAGGAAATTCACATCCAACGGACATCACTACCAATAAAAAAGCCGAAGTTTTACATTCTATGCCAAAGGAATCCGATGATGAAATGGATACTTCGAAAACTCCTCTTAGAAACATGTCAGTGTGTTTTCCTTTTAAATTTGTTTTGATTCCTGAACGGTCAACTCATCCCCTTTTTTTTTTTTCTTATTTAAAGATTTTTAAAAGTGAACAGTTCTCCAAAAATCAGTCCTCAAGATAATGTTATTAAAAAAGAAACGAATTCAACTCCCGTGGGATCGTGGAGGCAGGCTATTTTCAACAGAGTTGTCACGCCGGGGAAATCCGAAGAAAAGGGAGTGAAGAAAACCAAAGAAGAATATAGGGAACTGTGGAAAACTGCCATCAATCAACAGATATTACTCATAAGAATGGAAAGGGAAAATGCTCGTTTAAAGGGTAAATGGAAAAATTCAGGTTTTCAAACGAATTCAGGTTTGAACCTTTAATAAAAGGTAATTTTTGTAATATTTTCAGCTAGCCAAGAAGAAGCGACGGTGAAAAGGATTAAATTGGAATACGATGAATTGGGGAGCGGTTTAAAAGATGCCATGGGAATTTGGGATATGATTTCTGCCAAAGACAATAGAATATCATCTAAATGCGACAGTCAAGTTTTGTTGCAAGCCGTTCGACAGGGTAACCTTTCGAAAAAACCTTAATGATGATTTCAATGAGTGGAAAAGAGATGAAACGAAATTTAAGAAAAAAAATTTTCAGGTATACCGCGTGCCAAACGTGGCGAAGTCTGGTATTATCTGGCTCTTCAATACGGTTTGAAACAACCGCCATTCGATTCTTCCGAATTTCCCAACTACGACGTCTCTTACGAAGATTTGTTAAAACAATTGACTTCCTTTCAACACACGATCCTAATCGATTTGGGAAGGACTTTTCCGAAGCATCCTTATTTTTCATCACCGCTGGGTCCCGGTCAATTGGCTCTATTTAATTTACTTAAAGCGTATTCTTTGCTCGATCCCGTCGTCGGATACTGTCAGGGATTGTGTTTCGTCGCGGGTGTTCTTTTGCTTCACGTGAGTGTGCGTGCGTGCGTGAGTGCGAGTTTTTTCTTTCCCCCGGTTTTTAACGGTTTGCTTTGTGATTATTTCAGATGCCGGAAGATGCGGCTTTTTTGCTTTTGAGACATTTGATGTTTCGTAGGGGTTTGAGAAAACAATATCTACCCGACATGGCAGCTCTTCAAGTTCAATTGTATCAATTGTCGAGACTGATTCACGATTTTTTTCCCAAGTTGTACGTTCACTTCGATAAAAATGAAGTCGCTCCCACGTTGTACGCAGCTCCCTGGATGTTAACATTATTCGCTAGTCAATTTCCGTTAGGTTTCGTTGCGAGAGTTTTCGGTGAGATGAACCACACGACTGCACACAGCCTGCACGCTATTTATTTGGCGCGTTTTCGTTTTTAAATTTTTTTTTTTTTTTTTTTAATAATAGATTTACTCCTTGCCGAACAAACGACGGATGTGATATTCCGCGTGATAATGGCATTGTTAGAAGAACACAAAGATTCGATATTGAAATTGACAACGTTGGAAGAAATAATGGATTATTTAAAAGTCACGGTTCCCACCAAAATGGACGCGGGTTGCGTCGATAAAATAATTAAAAAGGTGAGGTCATCGCTTATTCGAATCGAGATTTAAACGAAGCCAAAACATTCGAATGATTAATACAGATTGAAATAAGGAAATAAGGCAACAAGTTGTAATGCCCTTGGAAAATAATAATAATAATATTTTGATTTCCATTCCTTTTTTTTAAGGTTCTCGTTATGGATATTTCCAAACAACTTCACGAATTCGAAGTTGAATATCACGTTTTGCAAGAAGAGATTTCCACACCCCGAGCCGAATTGGATCGTTTGAAAAAAGTCGAAATGGAAAATGAAAAACTGGCGAATCAAAATTTAGCCTATCAAGACCAACTTGAAGTACATATTATTATTATTATTATTATTATTTTCTTTGCGTATAAGAATATAGCGTCTTTAAAATAAATAATTTTTTTAGGCGATTTCGAGAAACGTCGGAAGACTCGAAAAACTCAGACACGCTCAACAGGACACGATAAAAAAATTAGAAACGAAAGTCAAAACGTTGGAAACGACCGTCGAATTTTTAGGGAATTTCATAACGGAAATAACGGAAGAATACAAAGACGTCGAGATTCCGGGAGACGTTCGTAGAATCATTGCGAATTTACCAGGGAGTCACGAAGAACATTCGAAACCGGCGGCGGCGGCGGCGGCTCCCAACAAGCATCCTTTCGACAAAACGACATTTTTCCGGAAAATTCAATCGAGCATCGATTTTCACGAGAAACCTCACTTTAGTGAATTTTGCGCGGCGAACAGTTTACCCAACGGTGCGAAATTAACGGATAACGTAAATCGGGAAAAGGGAACCGATGGAAAATTCAAAGGGGTGCCGCTGAGAGTACTGCAAGACGATGGAAAATATCAAAATCACGCGTCGTCTAATTTAACGTCGAAGATAACATCGGGAGTGACGTCGTTTTTCAATTCTTCGAACGGAAGTAGTGGTTCGAACGCCGCCGGTAAAAATTTTTTAAAAAATAACAAGAACGTTTCCGTTTCAACTGAGGCATCCGCAGAAGGGAATTCCAACGGGAGGCAGCATAACTTTTCCAGCGATATAGGTTCGTTGAACATTAAGAAATCTATAATCGGATCATCTCATAAAAACGAAAGACTGTGTAAATCAGGTAGGGAACACGCGTCATCGACGGATAAACCATTGCCCATCATTTCAAACGGAACATCCGGTGCGAACGAACAGAAAGAAAATCATAATAATGATAATGGGGAAGAAAGTGAAAATAATCACCTACATCCGTTAGATTCGGCCAATGACGTCATAATTACATTTAACGGTACGACGAAATTGAAAAGTTTAAAATCGGGTCCTCCGCCATTGTTTCGAAACAACACTTTAGGTTTTTTGCCTTATAGTAATAATAATAATAATAATAATAATAATAATAATAATAATAATAATAATAATAATAATAATAAAAACAGTCAACCTTTACACATATCGGAAGATTTTGATTCCTAAACCCCAAAAAAACCTTTTACAAGTGCCTTTTTTTTCAACATTTTTGTAATCAGTTTTTTTTTTTTATCTCTTATTAATCTTATTGGATTTATTATTATTATTATTATTAATTTTTCTATAATCAACGTTGTTGTTTTTTATAGGTTTTTTTCTTTCCATATAAAATTATAATAATATTTAAAGTAATACAGTAAATACCATTGAAGTATTTTGAAAAAAAAAAAAAAAATTTATCAACATGCAGTATTTAATAATGATGAAGTTGTTTGTATATTTATATTTATTTAATGTTAATAAAACAATTAAATAAAAAAAGAAAAAACGGTTTAAAATTTAAATAATACATATCCTAATGTTCAAAAAGTAAGTGACATACCTGAAATTATTGATCCCAGGGGAAAAAAGAAACGTTGCACACATAATATTTTTGTAAAATAATTAATTAATTAACTTAACACTGTAAATTCGAGTAATTTTAATATGATTTGTCTGATCGAAAACACTAAAACTCATAAAAATTGTGAAACAAAAAATTAGTTTTATAAAACACGTTCCGCCATGTTGAAAAGTGTCAATTTAAAAAATCATTTCTTTTTCCCGCCAAATTGCAACAGCCATTTTAATAGCAAAATGGTTACTTATTTTTAAACGGAAATATTTTTATTTATTTTAATGAGGGTTTTTTATTATTGAGTTTAGTGTAAATGTAGGAAATATTTGTAACGAAAATACATTAATGTACATAAAAAAGATTAAAGTGTCATTAATTCTAAAAACACGTTTTTAATTTTGAATTAGATAATAATGATAAAAAAATTGTAAATAAAGATTGATTTTGTTCATTTATTTGCAATATTTTACAGAATATTATATTAAAATAATATAATTATGTACTTGAATTAAAAAAAAAAAGACGTGAATTGCAGTACCAGGGTGAAATTTAATTATAGTTTATTGATTTATAAAAATATATATATAAGATTTTAAAAATAAATTTTTTAAACACTTGAAGTGCAATAATACTTAAACGTGATTAATTTTTATTTAAGAGAAAACCTATGCTTAAATTTAATTTTTTTTTATAATAAAAAATGTCTGAAGTTATCATTGTTACTGGAGGTACAGGTTTGGTTGGTCAAGCAATTGCTGAAATTATTAAATTAGAAAAAAAAGAAAATGAAAATTGGATTTTCTTAAGTTCTAAAGATGGAGATCTTAGGTATTTATTAATTTATTGATTATAATTTTTATTTGTATCAATAGAATGTCACAATATTCTTTTTAATATTTACAGTAATTTGGAAGAAACTAAAAAAATTTTTCAAAAGTATAAACCGACACAGGTTATACATTTAGCTGCCATGGTCGGAGGACTTTTTCACAATATGGCTCACAATTTGGATTTTTTCGTTTGTATCGAAATCATATTTTAATCTTCAGAGTGACACAAGTAATTAATTTACATAAATTTTTTATGTTTCAGAGAAAGAATATGCAAATAAATGACAATGTTTTAGCAACTAGTCTCGAATACAAAGTTAAAAAAGTTGTTTCTTGTTTATCAACTTGTATATTTCCAGATAAAACAACATATCCGATTGACGAAACCATGGTAGCTTGGTTTTTTTTAATGTTTCTTTCGAAAAGCGAAAAACTTTTTATAAACTAATTAATTTAATTTTTAGTTACATCAAGGTCCTCCTCACTCATCTAACTTTGGTTATAGCTATGCAAAAAGAATGGTAGATATTCTAAATAAGGGTTACCATCAACAACATAATGCAAATTTTACATCTGTAATTCCTTGCAATGTTTTCGGTCCTCACGATAATTACAATTTGCAATCGAGTCATGTAATTCCAGGATTAATAAGAAGAATGTATGTAGCTATAAAGTCAGGTTTGTAAAAAGAGTTACAAAAATAAGTTTAAAATTTTTTTTTTTCTTATTCCAATTATTTTGTATATATTTTTTTTTTAGGGGAAAATACTTTTAGTGTTTACGGAACTGGAAAACCTCTCAGGCAATTTATTTATTCATTAGATTTAGCTAAACTAATGATTTGGGTTTTGAGGGAGTACAATGAAGTAGAACCGATAATTTTATCAGGTTAATTATTTTCCTTTTTTTTAAACTTTAATAATTTTTTCGTTCAAATTTAATTAAAATATTTTTTTTGTATATATTGAAGTCGATGAAAAAGATGAAGTGAGTATAGCTGAAGCTGCGACAGAAATATCTAGAGCATTTAATTTTCAAGGAAAAATCACATTCGACACATCAGCCGCAGATGGTCAATTTAAAAAAACCGCAAGCAATGCTAAGCTAAGAAAATATTTGCCTCATTTTGAATTTACTCCATTTTCAAAAGCGATTAAAGAAAGTGTAACATGGTTTCAAAATAATTATGAGAGAGCAAGAAAATAGTCACATTACCTAATTTGATGCCTCATACCAGGTATTCAATTTTACTTACATATTAAAAAAAATATCACATTTTATTGTTTTTTTTTTTTTTTGTCGAATACTTAAAATTAGTGGCCTTACATTATACATTGCTTCCGAAAAAAAAAGAAAAAAAAATTAGTCTAGAGGTTGAAAAGTGTTGAAATCATTTTAATTATCCAAAAATTCTTATTTTATACAAATTGAAATGGTTTAAAAATTTTTAATTCTCTGGTTAAGGATATATTTTTAAATTAATTCTAAAATTGTAGGATTATTATAAATATGTAACCATTTAAATGTAAATTTGTTATTTCAATAATGTTTTTTTTAAAAAAATATTTTATTTTATTTGGTAACGATTGGAAAAGTTTTTATTTTTGTCAATAAAATAGAGTATAAATATATTTTTTAATAAAGCGTCTTTAAAAGTTCAAAAATAAGTTTGATTTTAATTAGCATTTCATTCGGTGAACGAATTTTATACGGCAGCAGACGACGGCATTCAATAATGTCGTGTAACTAGAAATATTGTAGTTAATTTACGAACACACGCTTTCTCGATTCGCTTACAATTGCACTACCGAGCAGTTCGCGAATTCGATGGCCGCCGGGTTTGTCAAGTAATTTTTTAGCAAATTTTAACTTTTTAGTTTGTAAAAAAAAATGCACGAGTTAACATGTTTTTGTCGACATATGTGGTATTATTTATTCGGTAATATATTATAAAACTAATGAGTTTCTCAAATAAAAATGTAATTATAAAGTTTTTTCAAAATAAAAATTGACATTTTTCAATTGATTTTTTTTTTTTTTTTGTTACACTCGGTATCTGATAACAACAAAATGGCAGGTTTTCAACGTTTTCCCGCTAGTTCTTCTTCCGGATTATGTTGAATGAAAACGACGTTAATTCATCACAAAATAATTTTTTTAACTGATTTAAATAATTCTTTTCACTCTCGGTAAAAGATGTAAGTTTATTAAATACTTATTCAACGTAAATTTTTTATAAATAATTAAAAATATTGCAATTATCAATGCCGACTTGGAACTCTCACTTGCTGACCATTAAAAAATTAAAAAATTAAAAAATTTTTTTTTTTTTTCAAAATTTTATTATTTGAAAAATATTTTTTGTAAAATTTTATTTTTTAATGTAAATCATTGAATATGAAACATAAATTTTCCCCCCTCTTGATTAAAAATTATTACTTTTTTTTTTTTGTGGAAAATTTCTTTGCTTATTTGAAATTGATTTTAGTTAAACATGTTTAAAAATGTTTTTTTTTTTGTGATTTGTACTTCAAATTTTTTTTTTTTTTTATAGTTTATTTGTTTGTTTTATGTATTTCAAAGAATTCTTTTACATGTTATTAAAAATAAATAATTTCATAAACAATCTGATAGTGACATATCATAATCATTAACAATTATATAAGAGTAAAGTGTTGAGATGAAAAATTAATTTTTTTTTTTTTTTTTTTTTTTGAATTCTCTCACTTTTTATTTTATTCATTACCTAAATTTGAAAAACTTTAACCTTTTTTTGTTTTAATTTACAGTTATTAAAAACCTTCCTTTGCGACTGTGGACAAAAAAAAATGAAACAATAATATTTAATATATAATGCCTGGGATAGTAGCTTTTCGCAGAAGGTGGAGTGTGGGAAGCGATGATTTGGTTGTACCTGGATTATTTCTCTTCTCAATACATTTAATATGGTAATGTACAAAATCAAATTTTACTTTTAACTTTATTTATTGTGATAAACAAGGATTTAAATCATATTAGTGTATGTATGTATGTATGTGTGTGTCTCGGTTATTTAAACATAAATTTTTTTTTTGCAAATGAAATATTTAACCACATTTCAATTTCATTCGCCGTTATTAACGACGATTAAAGTCGAAAACTTTTTATTATAATCAAAAATTTATTTCAATTTAAATTTATTAATCTTTTGTTATTAATTATTTATGTGTTGTTTGTTGCATTTAATTAATTGCCGGTCATTCGAATCGATTTCATATTTATTAATATGAATTTAAAAGTTTTTAATTTGTTTTGTGGGGTTGTAACCAATCGTTTTTATTTCTTTTGCAAAAAAAAAAAAAAAATTATTTTCTTTTTAACTTATTATCATTATTACTACTACTTAAGTGTGTGTGTGTGTGTGTGCGTGCGTGCGTGTGTTTGTTGAATTTTTATAAAAAATTGCGTTTGTTTAAATTATTGTTTTATCGCCCCTTTCGTAAGCTGCCATTTAAGTCACAAAAAACAATTTATTAACACACGAAATTTAATTTTAAAAAAACAAAAAAAAACGTTTAAACAAATCAAATTGAACTTTCGCCCCCGAAAAAATTATTATTATTATTATTATTATTATTTTCCATAAATTTTATATTGTCGCTAACGAACAAAAAAAAAAAAAAACAAACAAAAGGTCGTACGTAATACGTAGGTCACTTTTTTTTTTTTTTTTTTTTCTTGTCAGATGATTTGCGGTTGTTGTGCCCGTTTGTTTCGTTTGTTTGTTTGTTTGTTTGTTTTATAAACATAGACGTTGAAAAAAATTTTTTTTATAAATAATTCGTCGTTTTTTTCATAAATTTTGCTGATTGTTGTGGTTTATGTCAGTCGTAATCATTGATAGTGTGACGTCACTATCGAAGTAATAACGATAACGATAAAATTATTTTTAGATCTGTTAATAATAACCTAATAAATAAATAAAAAAGTTAAATAAACAATTTACATAATATATATATATATAAAAGAAAGGATTATCGATCGATTTCGGGAAAATTTTTTATGAAAATAATAATGATGATATAAAGCGTTCGAGGATATAAATTAAAAAGTAAAAGAAAATTGACGTTATGAAAAATTATCCGGATATTTAAATGACGAAAAAATATTATTATTATTATTAAGATGGGTATTGATGACGTATCGTCGACAAGAAGAAGGGGAAAAAAGTAGATGGAGTTAAAAGAAAAAAAATCGTTTTAAATTTTGCATAACGTTAATAAAAAGGGATTGGGAATGAGGGAAATTTTCCGGAATTTTCCAAAATTTATCCCGAAAAAAATTTTTTAGCCAAAGCAACAGATTTTTTGATTTAATCGTTAAAGTAAACTACTACGAAATTTCAAAAAAAAAAAAAAAAAAAAAAACATTTTCACTTTTTTCATTTCTTGCCGGAGGGAGGGGAGGGGAAGGGAAGAGGGAGAGGAAGGAAGGAAGAAAAAGGAAAAAAAAGTCTCCTGTGTCGGATTTTACCCTCAGGAAACGCACATATATATAAATTTTAAAGGCGACTTGGTCATATTATTAATTATTCACGAAAAAGGAAAGTGAAACGAAGAAAGAAAGTTTGGGGAGGTAGGGGGGGGGGGTAAGAAATAAAAAAGGCGGAAAAATTTATTATTATTATAGTTTTCGATGATAATTCAAAAAAAAAAAAAAAAAGGGCACGCGAATGATTATTAAAAAAAAAATGGCGTAAGAGTTTATTTATCGTTTAAATCCGGAAATTAAATTTTTTTTTTTTTTTTTTTTTTACTATCAACCAAACTTTTGCAATTTGTTTCCTTTTTATTAATAATAATAATAATAATAATAATAATAAGTCGTTAAAAATGTGGTTTCCACCGCCTTGTTGTTGTTGTTTTGTTTTCTCTTATGAAAATTTAACAAAATGGCGACGTTAAATTGTTTTTTTTACACGTGGCCTTCGTTTTCCTTTTTTTTTTTGTGTTTGTTTTATATCCGGTTACTGAAAGTTTCTGTTGATTTCTGTTTTAAAGGAAAAGAAAAGAAAAATTATTATTAATAATATTCAAAAAGAAAAATTAATAGGAAAAGTTTTTTTTTATTATAAAAAAAAAAACAATTTATAAATTTCCTCCGGGGTGAAAATACTTTTTTTCTTTTTTTTTTTTTTTTTTTTTTCTTTACTTTAATTATAAAAAATTAATTTTTCAATAATTATAAATAAAATAAAAGGAAATTATTTATCGAATTTTATTAATATTCAAAACGTTTCGACGAATCGTTGAGATTATTATTATTATTATTATTATTATTATTATTATTAAAATCGATTTCGAAATATCTATCTCCCTAATAATAAAAAAAAATGTATCTGAAGAGAGTTTTCACAGAGTAAATAAACAATTTTCTTTTTTTCTTTTTTTTCTTTTTGTTTTTATTTCGGTTAATAAATTGAAATTTTAACCTGATAGCTGGTAATTAAAAAGTTTTTTTTTTTTTTTTTTCGTGTGCGTGTGTGCGTGTGTTTTCCGAGTGAAAAATGTGTTTAAAAAAATAATGATAATGATAATGATGATAAAATGAAATGAACCGAAACGAAATTTTCACTTAAAAAAAAATTTTTTTTTTTTTTTGAAAAACTCTTGTGAGAATTTTTTTTTGTTTTTAATCTCGTTAGAAAATGACCTTTTTCGAATGGGATTTTCTACGAAAAAAAAAAAAAAAAAAAAAAAAAAATTTTTTTCTCTTTCTCAAATTAAATTTTGAAATTTACCAAAAAAAAACAGAAAAAAAAGAAATGTTGTACTGCCGGTTTTAATTAAAAAAAAAAAAAAAAAAAACAAAACAAACGAACAACTAACAAGCAACCGAGCGAGCAAGCAAGCAAAAATTTTTTTTTTTTGGCATTTTTCAAAAATCAGGTGACACGAGTATGCATTTGGTTCTTTTTGACTGTATTATTATTATTATTATTGTTGTTGTTGTGGTTGTTGTTGTTGTTGTTGTGGTTGTTGTGTTGTTGTTTTCTTTATTAATTCATGCTGTGAAAAAAAAAAAATGTCCGCATTTTGTTTTACGACCGTCGTTTGTTATTTTAAATTCGCACTTTGTTATTACCATTTGTTTACTTATTTATTTATTTATTTATTTATTATTATTATTATTATTTGTCAACAGTGGGACCATTGTATTTTCTTTTC